TTTTCTTTTCTTTTTTTTTTTTGAAAAATACCAAAGTCATCAATTCATAAATTTAACATCCTTTAACATCCTTATTTATAATTAATTTTGTTCATTGTATATTATTTTAATCCTGCATAGTTTAATTTTATAACTGGGTTCTTTTAATTCCCCCTCTTCTAGTTTATTATGGTAATTAATATACTCCTCCGGTCCTTATTATAAGACCCCATTTGACTTTTTATTTGGTCCTAATTATAAGACCCCAATCCATTTTATCTCTTATATTTATGTATTTTTTTCCAAGATAATCCGTCTAATAATGATAGTTTTAGCCAATATACTTAATTAGCAAGGATATTTTAGGAATGACAACACTTATTTATTATAAATAACCAACTTAACTTACTTCTTTAATCTTCTCAAATAAGTCAATTGGGTCTTATAATTAGGACCGGAAGAGTATATGATTATGTTGTTGAAAATCAGCATTGGGACTGACAAAGCAAGGGGTTAAAAACATGGAATAATGGCATATAGCCTCCTTGGAGATCAAGGAGTACTCAAGCTCTCCTAAATCGAAGATATGGTCTTTTCTTGAGTTTTACAAGTCAAGGCACTCGGGTGAAGATTATATGGCATAAAGGAATATATTATGGTGAATATATTTTTCTTGAAAGTAACTGAAAGCCAGGGTGGGTAAAGGTTTACAGAATTTTCGAAATCAAAGCATAAAATAAGTGACCAATGGTTTAAATGTATATGTATGATTTATATGTATTTAAACAAAAGATGAGAAGAAAGGAAAAAATCATTATAAAAATTTAAACCAAATCTAAGGGGGAAAAATTACAAAAACTAACTAGATCTTGAAAATATTATTAATTTCATATAAAACATTTCTATCATTTGGTACTTTCGTGCAAGTAAATGGTCTGGACTTGCTGAATGCCTAGCTAGAAATTAAAGGCCGGTCAACATGTGATAAGCTTGTCATTTCATGCATGGAGTTGAAAAATCTTGAATTTAGGGTGCTTATTACAGATAAGAAAAATCTATAAGAATAAAATTACACAAAAAAGTTGTTTTAGGATATTGAGCGCTGCTGACATATGTTTTAGAATACTGAATAATCCACAATATAGTTTAGAATATTGAATGTTATTGAAAAAAGCCATTGTGCTGCATATGTTTTTTTATAACATTTTGCTATATACATTTTAACCTTAATTATTTGACCAAAAAATAGGAGTGATTTAAGATAGCAAATGTCGAGAGAAAAAAAAAACTTTTTTTTCTTCCCAGAGAAAATGAACTCTGTTGATTAGTTACTTTCCTACATGTTGTATATTCTTTTGGGTGTTTGCATGAAATTTAAGCCATAGTTCGAATGATGTAATTTTTTTTTTAATGTGTTATTGAACATAGTCTTTCAATAATTAATTTATAAATGATTTTGAGGTCAGAAGTCAAGAGGAAAAATGTTACATTTGATATAAAAAAATTCATCTTGGTCAAATAAAAGGCTATCGGCTATAATTATTGTTTTTCAACAATTATTTTTTGGGTCGAAAATCGCCCCCTTATCATTTTTTTTTGGGGGATGATGTGTGAATTAGTAGTGTGTGCTTATCAGTAATAATCTCACATTATATTTGGGAAAAATTCAAGCCACCTTCGTGCAAAACTCAAGAAAACATCATATTTCCAGTTAGAAGTTGAATTAAAAGGATATCTCCTCCGACACTCTATGCCATTGCAGTTGCAGGGGTTCAATCTTTTCGTTTTGTTCAAAGCGTAATCTACAACGAAATAATCATATAACTAATAGCCCAGGAAAACAAAGAAAAGGAATTAGAGGTATGAAATTAAAACTAGTGGGTAAAATAATCATATAAAGCTCATTATACAATTATCAATAGATGCTGTTACGAAAGTTGTTGAAACGGTCTTGTGCTTTCTCCTCGAAGCTCACTGCTGTGATGTGAAGATGATGAACTGCAATAAACGAGAGATGTGGACGAAAGAACCACCAAAACCTATTTTCTTTATTTAACCTTCTTTTCTATTTGGCTTTGTTTAGTTATAAAGTGAAAGGCAAAGGCCTACTTTAGTATAGCTTCATGACTTTTCTTTATTATTGACTGAAATGGAATTTTCCCTATTCAGATGATTATTTAGAAATTTTTAAATTGGACAATCATTTTTCTGTCATTTTTTTTTTTGCTGACCATTATTACTCCTTAATATTTTGAGTTTTATTTTACTATATTATTACTTCCTTATCATTTCATTAGAACCAAGAAACAATAGTTAAATTATTAAAATTATTTGAAGATGAAATATACTTTTGATTTCACTGCTCATACTAACATAGAAAATTTTCAAATTTGCATTACATTTTCTTTTATAGTTAATCACTTTAAACGTGTATATAGTAATTGAAAAACTTAATTAATATCCTGTCAAGTGATTTATAAGTGACAAGGAAAAGTTATTTCTCTTAAAGGTGTCTTAGAATTAGGACTGGGGGACTAGGGAGTACGTATAGTTTAAAGATATACACAAAAATAAATCACAACCCATTGCATGATCTAACGGCTTTAGCAGAGGTGGAAGATTTGGCAGTGACCTGACCTTTCACAAAATCCCAAAAGGGCATAGGGTACTCCTCAACAGCAGGCTAAGCTTTTAATTAAGAGCTGAGAAGAGAAGTGGAGCTAGGAGAAGGGAAGCGGCAAGCGGTAAGGAGAGGAAATTTAAAAAAGAAAAAGCAAAAATATTTATTCCCCTAGTCTTTAATCAAAGACATAATTGTTGAGTTAATTTTAATCCCAAATGTAAGACCTGACAAAACTATTAAGTTAATCTTGGTCCTAAATGTAAGACTTATTTATCATCTTTAACATTTTTTTAAAATTATCATCATTGATACTCTCTCAACCATAATCAAATAGGAAAGAAAAATAGTATTAATAAAGATTATTATGGTGTTTTAGAGAAAAAAAATGTCATATTTTTTATAATAAATAACTTACCTAATTTTATTAATCTAATCAAATTAATTGAATAAATTTTATATTAAAGATCAGAAGAGTATAATAATAAGATGGATGGGTGGTTGTTAGTGGAATATATGTATTACATGCTTGTTTATGTAGAAGTGGCATAACCCCGTACTCGGTAAGAGGGAAACAGATGAGAGGAAATATGAGGAAAAATTTTAATGAGTTTGATTTAAAAAAATTAGAGAAATAAGGTTATAAAATTTTAATAAAAAGAATAAGTAAGATAAAAGAGTAAGAAAATTCATTAAAAACTTGTAATATTAATTTTTCAGTTTTTAAAATCAAATTTATTAAAATTTCCCTTCTCTTCTTCTCCCCTCTATTTCCTTCACATCCTACGAGTTTTTAGAGATAACGAAGAATAGAGTTGAGAGTGGAGGTTATATAACAACTTTTTTCAGGCAACTTAAAATTCTCTCTCTGCCATGGTTGTTCTTCCTAAAAATCATACGCAAATTCTATTTGGTGTTTGGATGAAATTCAAGAGATTATTAGATTATTAAATGCAAAAATAATTTGGGCCAACAGGTGTTTCCAATCTTCATTGATTTAAATCCTTCTGATGTAAGACATCAAAAAGAAAGTTATGGAAAAGCTTTAGCAAAACACGAAGAAAGTTCAAAGAAAGCAAAGAAAAGGTTCGATGGAGAGATGCTTTGTTGCAACTTGGCAAATTATCAGGTTGGGATACCGACAGGGGCCGATTAAGATTTTTCTTTTCCCTTTCTTTTTTGGCTTTTTATTGGAAGAAAGATTTATAGCTAAACATTATACTGTTTATATATAATATTTTTTTTGCCTCTGTGCTCTGCTGTAATCAACTTCAAAAAATAGAGTAATAATCCCATGATTTATGAATCGTATCTAATATTTGATATTTTAACGAATGTTAATAACATTAAAATTACGAATTAATCGGATAAATGGGATTATTATTTTTAACAAATTAAACGAGTTAAAAAGGCTCAAATTATTGCTTCTTGTTTTAATTTTTTTCACATTATTATATTCCAAATTTCTCTCCATATTTTCCTATTAAATTTCAATATTTTTTGGCAAAGAAAATAAAATTTTATTGACGATACGTTTGCTATTATGTTATTATGAACACAATAAAACAACCAGAATAAGTAATCAATTGGTGAGTCACTTAAGTAATAAATGGCTTCCATCAATTTCATGTGCATGCATACATACATAAATATATTCATATATATTCTTATTGCAATTTAATTTCATCATAAACTATAATTCATGCCAAACATTATATTTCTCTAACTATGACTACTTATCTCTTCTTTAACTATGTATTATTTATTTGTTCTTTTCTTCTTCTGGAAATAACCATATCCTTATGATAGATTTTATTTATTTATTTTTTGGTTTTAGTATCAACACAACTAAATTTGCGAACAAATTGCACGCGCACATTGAGGCATGTCTTTTTATTCACTTTATTTTTAAATGTTCTGTTTCTTTGCAAGTGATACATCAACATGTTTTATGTCAAAATATTCTATTGCCACTGGATATATATCATCAATTTAAATCAATTTATCTAATTTGTTTAGCCAAGTCGTATAGTTTTATGTACTAACTTAAACTTAAAATATGCATGGAACTTGGATCCTATTCTCTTTCAAAATTGGAAACAGGGGAGGGTGTTTTTTAGCCAAATTGAAGGTTTTCAGGCTTCACTCTGTTTTATAACTCTGGTTCTTTTTATTTACTAGTTCTTTTTTATTGTCCTCTTTTTCTAGTTTACTATGGTAAGTAATATGATTATGTTATTGACACCTTTGTTTGCATCCCCGCAAGTATAAAGCATATGGAGCTGACTTGTTCTTTTTCATAGAGAAAAAAAGATTTTCTTCACTAGTGAAGTATACTTTCAAGTTGTGTTAACAAAAATAACAAAGATTTAAATTAAAATTTGACCGAAATGCAATGGTATTTCACTTCATTAATGCCTTTATTCATGTTAACAAGCGCTCAGTTTTCATTTATGAGAGGGTAATTAAAATCTGAAAACCTCATCAATGACCAAAATTTTTGAAACAAAGACAAATCTCTGGAGTGACAACTATTACAGTAGAATGGAAGGAGCAGGAAGAAGATGAGTCATTGTTCCTATTGCCGTCCATTTTTCTCTGGTTCTTGAATCAGAACTCTCGTACATCTTACCAAAGAATTTGTTAAGCACTATCGGCGGAAGCTTGACCTCATCAGAAGAAGCAAGCTGGGGTTGGGTGGCCTGGTTGAAGACACCATTATTGAGATTGCACCAATATTGTATCTCTTCTTTACATATCATTCTCCATCCACTGCCCAATATTTTAAATTTCTCACCGTCAAATGGAGCGTGGCTTTTGAAGCAAGTAGAAAGATTAATGTGAAGGGCATTGTTATGATCTCTCAGGTGCTGCCAACAAGTTTCCTCATTTAATTCCAACACCATTATGCAGAGATGACGCTTATGCCCTTTGAAAGTATAATGCGCCCACTCTTTGTGTATATAATCATCATCTTCTGGACCTTTGCTACTCCAAGAAATCATCAAACTACCACAACCTGAGATAAGGAAGCAGACAGCAATCCCAGCCCATTCACTATCACGGAAATATGGAGGAATCCTCATTTTCATCTCATATTCCCCACTATTCCCACGCAGAGGATAATATTCTTTATTTGGAAACCACGATGGCATTTCGCATCCTGCAATAATTGTACAGAAATCTCTCAAGGCAAGATATTCTGGCTACAAGCATGCAAAATTGTCATTAACATTAACCACCCATGAAAGAGCATGTGTGAAAAAAAGACAAAAATAATGAAACAGATACACACACCTCAGCATGCTTGAACAGCAATGGGATATCATCGTATTCCCCATCAGAGATTACATATTTAGTTCGCCCACGATGCTAAAATAGAAAATTAGTCATGTTATGTATATGTAGTTGAAGAAGTACAGATAAATCATTAGATAGATTTTAGGAAAACAACACACCTCATGATCAAGTGAAGCAACCAAATTCCATACTGTTTAACTGATAAAGGTTCTGTCGAATCACAATAAGAGGCATTTAGTCGAATTAACTGTGGTGGAAGCCTTGGCAATGACTTTAGCCTTACGCAACAATCCAATGAAAGAGAGAGAAGCCGAAAAGACCAGAGAAGCATCCAGTGGGTAGATTCACAAAATGATTCCACCTAGATCCAATACAATTAGTGATGATAAACTACCAATATCATTTGGAATTGATCCATCATTCAAGCCACACCATCTTAAATATAATCCTGTTAATGACTCTACATTGAAGCCAGAAATTTGGCGAGTTACGTGAGTCTTCAACAACTTGTCAAGATTAAGACTTTTGAAGCCACTCAAATTTAAATCTTTAAGGCTCGTCAAGGATCCAAGAGATTTAGGAAATCTAGTTATAGCAGTATAACTCACATCAAGATATAATTTCTTCATGCCTTCCCCAAACTCTGGTAGCATTGCAACTTTTCTGCACCATTTAAGATCTAACGTTAACAAAGAATTCGTTTCCAACTTCCTTGGTAGGATTTCAAGATTTTTACAGCCATCCAAGTACACCTCAACAAGCTCTTTTAACTGTCCAAGTGAGGGATGAACTGTGACAAGGGATGTGCAGCCACGAAGACATAAATGTTCTAAATATGGAATTGCAGAGAAGTTTGGAGTTTCGGTAAAAGCATCAGAATTGCTCAAGTCGATTGATTTCAATTTCTTCATAAACTAGCCAAACAAAAAGTCGTAGAGTCAATCTCACAAAACAATGTATCAATAAAAACAGGTTATAGAGAGTATTTTCACGATAAACAGTAAGCATCAAGCATCAATCTCACCTGTACACCATTCCAAAGTTGCTTTATTTTGCTATAACGCATTTGAACATGAACAAGTTTATCTAATGGAAGCGGAAGAGCTTCAAAAGGATGATGGCCATTGCACAACTCTTAACGCACCAGGAAGTTTCAATCCCCTTGGTAAGATGAGTGGATTAAAAACCTCAGTATCTAAGAGGAGTAATCTAATATTACTCATCCTTTAAAAGGTTTTTGAATGTACCTCTATTTTGTTTAGGCCCCCATAATAAAAACCTTGCATAACAATAGCCTGTATTGCCTTAGATCCCTAATGAAAATATCATTTTCAAGAAAAATAACACATGAGAATAATCAGAAAGTGAAGAATATTAAAAACATTAAATGCATATCTACAAAATGAGATATTTAGAAAATAAGGCACCCACCTTGTTTGTTGCTAATACTTCCTTAGTGTCCTCAAACTCCCACAACCTGCTACGCTTGCCAACATCATTGGGAGATTTTTGATGAACTATATACCTACCTAAGTCTTCAAATAAATCATGCATCTCTAATATGCAATCTTCTGTTTCAACTAGTAAAGTTTTTTCAATCAAGACATTTATTCCAATTGTTGGGTGAAGATAACAACTTTCCAAAATTTCAGTTACTTCGTCCTTATTTGAGGAGATTAAGGAAGTAAGTTAAGTTGGTTATTTATAATGAATAAGTGTTGTCATTCCTAAAATATCCTTGCTAATTAAGTATATTGGCTAAAACTATCATTATTAGAAGGATTATCTTGTAAAAAAATGCATAAATATAAGAGACAAAATGGATTGAGGTCTTATAATTAGGACCAAATAAAAAGTCAATGGGGTCTTATAATAAGGACTGGAGGAGTATTACTCATCCTTTAAAAGGTTTTTGAATGTTTAGTTAGGCCCCCCATAATAAAAACCTTGCATAACAATAGCCTGTATTGCCTTAGATCCCTAATGAAATATCATTTCAAGAAAAAACATGAGAATAATAAGAAAGTGAAGAATATTAAAAACATTAAATGCATATCTACAAAATGAGATATTTAGAAAATAAGGCACCCACCTTGTTGTTTTCTAATACTCCTCCAGTTCTTAATATAGGATCCAATTCTTGAATTGGTTTTGGTTCTAAATATAAGACCCATTTCTTATATTTTTCAATTTTCTCTAAATTACCCCTATGGATACTCCCTCAACCATAATCAAGTAAAGAGGGAGATGTGGTATTAAGAAAGATGATTATGGTGTTTTAGGAAAAATGTGTCACTTTTCTTATAATTAACTAATTTACCTAACTTCCTTAATCTAATCAAATTAGTTAAATGGGTCTTATATTAAGGACCGGAGAAAATACTTCCTTAATGTCCTCAACTCCCACAACCTGCTACGCTTGCCACATCATTGGGAGATTTTTGATGAACTATATACCTACCCAAGTCTTCAAATAAATCATGCATCTCTAATATGCAATCTTCTGTTTCAACTAGTAAAGTTTTTTCAATCAAGACATTTATTCCAATTGTTGGGTGAAGATAACAACTTTCCAAAATTTCAGTTACTTCGTCCTTATACCTACCCTTGAAAAAACAAGCAGTATCCAAAAATATTGTCTTTTCTTTATCATTTAATCCATCATAACTTATTCTAAGTATTTGATTATAATCAGGAATTTGCTTCATTCTATCCAAAGGATCTCTCCACTCTGCTTTAATTCTTCCGCAAAGAAAAGAACCTAGAACTTCAAGCGCCAAAGGAAGACCTCCCGCATATTTAACCACAGATTGAGACACTCTAAATATCCTTTCCAGGATGATTCTTGATGAATGCTTTGTCAGAAAAGAGTTGAACAGATTCATCTTCCTTCATTGTTTCCACTTCATAGATTCTTTGAACTTTAGATGAGGTGAGCAAGTGGCTATCTCTTGTTGTAATAATTACTCTACTTCCTGTACCGAACCACTTTGGACTTTGAGCTAAATTCTGAATTTGTTTCATATGATCTACATCGTCAAGGACAAGAAGGATCTTTTTATTGCAGAAAAGATTTTGCAATATCCTCTTTCCTTCATTCTCATAATCGATTTTCATGTTGTTTACTCTGAGATGACGGAAAAGCTTTCTTTGCAAAGTAACTGTACCTTCTCTTTGGGAAGTTTCTCTAACGTTAGAAAGAAAGCAACAAACTTCAAATTTGTTAGAGATATTGTCATAAACAACTCTAGCAAGAATTGTTTTACCGATACCGCCCATGCCCCATATCCCTACAAAATGAACATCATCGGATCCAATCTCCAAATATAACATCACATCAACCATTCTTGACTCAAGCCCAACTACATTTTCATCATAAAATGCTAATTTGGAGCATATATGGTTCAATATCTCTCCAACTATCCTTTTTGTAAGGTCCGTTTCATGTCTACGAAAAAAAATTAACAGTGTTAAACAAATTTATATAGTTAAAATAAAATAACATGACAATATGGCCTTCCATGAATATTATTTACTTTTTTATAATGTAATGAATATTGTTTACCGAGGCTAGAATATGTACATTCTTTGATATAACTGGGCAGATTATTATCCATGATTTAAACCAAAATAAAACGAAAAAAAACACTAAGTTTGTGTTTGAATGCTCCCCAAAATTAATTATTTGAGAGAAAACTATGGTTTGATTAAAACAATTCCAAAACTATTTTTTCACAATCCATTTTTTCCGAGAAATCCATGGTTTTGGTATAAGGTAGGGATAACCACTTCCAATAATTACTTTTTCCGCAAAATCTAATCTACTGAAATTTACTTTTTGAAATCATTATTCGTAAAATTTATTCTCCAAAAGCTAATCCATGAAAACGATTAAATCTTTTTGAAAAAGAAAACTTACCAACCCCTGGAGTCCTACGCGGATAAGTTACTTATTTCATGTAAAGCGTTTCTCCAAATCTACTTTGTCCTTGTTTTTGGTGAACCCGTCTTCATGTTTAGTCAAAGCTTCTCCAAATTCTTTCTTTCATGCCTTACATCTGAAGGATCTATATCATAGATATTGGGAAAAGTTGTTGACCCAACTTACTTCGACAGTCAAGAATCATTTGAAGTTCATCCAAGCACCATGGAGAATCTGCATAATTTTCAGAGAGAATTACAACTGCACATAAAGAATCCTTAATTGCTTGAAGCAGTTGGTGAGATATAACTTCTCCTCTCTCTATTCCTTCATCATCCCTGAAAGTTTTGATCCCCTTCTACTCAAAGCAGCATACAAGTGATCTGTAAACTTCAGGCGAGTATCTTTCCTTACAAACTCAAGAAAACGTCATATTTCCAATTAGGAGTTGAATTAAGAGGATCAGAACTGGAAGAAGATTCTCCTCCGAAATTCTATGACGTTGCAAGGGTTCGATCTTTCGTTTTGTCCAAAATGTAATCTGCAACAATGTAATCATATCACTAAAGTCCACAAAAAGAAGAAAAGGAATCAGAGGCAAGAAACTAAAACTACTGGTTAAAATAAACGAAAATTTTGTGCAAGATTGATAACTCTCTATTGTTATATATTAAAGAATCTTTTGAGTGATTTTTTGGGGAGTTTAAATGCATTTTAGGCGATTTCTAAGAGTGAAAATAGAAAATTTAATTGTGAGCATATTTGGGGATTTTCTTGTTAATATCCTAGTTCTACAAGAAATTAAAGTAGTATAAAATAATTTGAGGAGTTAAGATTCTGTTATCTTCTCTTATCACCTCTTACTTTTATTTTATTTTAGTTTATTTCCTTTATTATGCTTTCTTTTTCCTGTCAGGTTTTTTTTTCATTATGTTTTCTTCAACTCCCTGGCCAGATGCAGACCGTTTGGAGGAGTCCTAATGTTGGAAGCTGAAGCCACGAGTTCACGAGAGAATTAGAGGGATTAAGTTTTGGAAAAATGGGAAGGCATGAGGAGCACGTGCTGATTGTGAAGCTTGAGACGACAACGCTTTGGAGAAGCAATTTTTGAATCAGGGGAGACCTAAGGGATTGGGAGAGGATCATCGGAGAGAGGAGGCGGCGTGGAAGAGACGTCTTCTTCTCTGCCTTTGGTTCCACTGGTTGCAGGAGCGCGAAGGATTCAGGAGGATCATCTAATTATGAACAATGGAAATCAAAAAAATATATAATTTCAGAGAATCAAATCAAAGATCGATAATTAAAACAAAAAAAAAAGATCTAAATAATAAGAACTAGAAGAATCTGTTTGCAAGAAACAAGAAGACAAAGTAGAAGATATAAATAGATCATAATTAGATGAACCAGAAACAAGAACTAGAAGACCAAAGCAAGAAGAATCTGGAGATTGCAATCGCATTCTCCTCTGGCATCGCCATCGATAAGGAAGATGGAGTAGACAAAAAGACAAAGAAGGTCTAAAATCTAAGGGCCGTCCTCCGTCCTCCGTCCTCCGTCCTCCATCACCGATCTGAAGAGGAAGAACGAGAAGATACAAGGTTCGTCATCCTCCATCGGTGTTGTCCGCCATCAACCTTTGCCATTGCAGATCTGAAGAGAGTGAAGGAGAAGACAAAGGTGGTTCGTGGTCCTCCATTGCAGATCTGAAGTCGAAGCTTCACCCGCCGTCCTCCATTGCCGATTTGAACTCGAAGGTACATCCGCCGTCTTCTGTCACCTTCACCGTCATCCTCCTAAATCGCACCACCATCCTCCTTTATCTCACCGCCATCCTTGGTTTTATCGTAGAGGAAGGGTGATGGGCAAAATTGTCTGAAAAGCTGGTACCATGGAACTGGAACTCAGTTCCTTGGGGGGCCTATGGAACCAAGTTCCATCATTTTTGATGGAATTGACAGTTCCAGGGAACTGTCTTGATGTGCACCAAACAGACATACCCTGAGTTCCACTTCCCTCCTCTCCAATTCCATGCTACCGAACGGGGCATGAGTTCCACTTCCACTTCCACTTCCCTCCTCTTCAATTCCATGCTACCAAACGGGACATTAGTTTTGGAGGGTTGATTATTAAATTTTAAGAATTAACAAAATTTATTTGCATACAATTCAAAATTTATGAAAATTTTGTGTAATTTAGGCTAATTTCAAAAAATTAATTCTTGATAGGTGCTCGCCCTTATTCCTTGGTTGATGTTCATCCTTCACTTGGAAAGCTGAGGAAGCTTGTCCAAGTGAGCTTACATCGGTGCGCAAGTCATGAAATAATCCTACCAAGAAAAGTGGAAATTAGTTCTTTGATGAAGTTGAATGTTTACTTCTGCTGTAGAGTTTCTGTGCTACCAGATTTTGGGGAAAGTATGAAAAAATTATCATCTCTTATCTAAATCATACTGCTATAACGAATCTTCCTGAATCACTTGGATTCTTGACTTATTTGAATTTGAGTGGATGCATGGCTCTTGTTCTTGATCACGTTATCTTCCACAAGTTGATTCTCAAACCTCTCAATATTAATGGTTGCTCAAAAGGGCTTAAGCTGCCAAAAAATTTGAACGAGAATTAGGCTTTGGGAG